CCCGCACCCCCCACTCCCCCTCAGGCTCCTGCCCCGTCCCCGCGTGTCTCCCCTTCCCACCTCCGCCACGGGGACGGAGCCTTCAGGCCTCTCCCCCCTGTTCCCTCCCTTCGGCCCACACGCTGCTCCGGTGAAATCTCACCCCTTGATTCATTTCTCCTTCAGTCAAACGAGCTGAGAACAAGGGAAGGCGCAGCTCCCGGCTGTGGCTGGGCAGGGCAGGGCTGCTCGGCCTGCCTTGCTCTCCCTTTGCCTCCTCATTTGTCCCTCCATCTCATTTCCCCACCCCTCACTGTCCTTCGATTTCCCACCATGTCTCCCCCCCTTTCCCCTCTTTATCTCTGATTTCTCCTCAGTTTTTCTCATTTTCCTTCACCCTCACCTTCATTCTCTCTTGTTCTCCTCCAGTCTCCCTCGTTTTCCCCCTTCCTCATTTCCCCTCAGCTGCTCTTGTTCTCCCTCATTTTCTTTCTGTTTCATTCATTTTCCTCTAATTCTCCCACGTTTCTCTCACTCTACCTCATTTTTCTCTGTTTCTCTAATTTCCCTTCAGTTTCTCTCCCTTCCCTCTTGGTCTCCCTCATTTTTCCCTCAGTCTCCCTCATTTTTCCCCTCTGTCTCCCATATTTTCTGTTTCAATTTCGCTCTCAGTCTCTCTCATTTTTTCCCCTTCAATTTCCCTCATTTCCCACTCAGTCTCCCTCATTTTTCCCCCCAGTCTCCCACATTTTCTCTGTTTCAGTTTTCCTCTCAGTCTCCCTCCTTTTCCCCTCATTTTCTCTCATCTCCCCCCAGAATCTGTCACTTTTTCTTCAGTTTCCACATTTTCTCACATCCCTCACTCAGTCTTCCTCTTTTTTTTTCCTTCAGTTTCCTTCATTTTCTCTCATCTCCCCTCAGATTCCCTAATTTCTTTCAGTTTACCACATTTTCTCTCATCCCCTGCTCAGTCTCCCTCATTTGTTCATTCATTTCCCCTCATATTCTTTCATTGCCCCCTCAGTCTCCCTCATTTTCCCTTCCATTTCCCACATGTTCTCTCATCCCCACTCAGCCTCCCTCATTTATTCTCCCTCAGTTTCCCTCATTTTCTCTCATCCTTCCCTTAATCTCCCCTATTTTTCCTTCTATTTCCCACATTTTCTCATCCCTCCCTCAGTCTCCCTCATTTTTTCCCTCAGTCTCCCTCATTTTTTCCCTCAGTCTCCCCATTTTTTCCCTCAGTCTCCCCCATTTTTTCCCTCAGTCTCCCCCATTTTCCCTTCTATTTCCCACATTTTCATCTCCCTTCAATCTCCCTCATTTTCTCTCATCCCCTGCTCAGCCTCCCTCATTTTTCCTTCAGTCTCCCTCGTTTTCTCTCATCCCTCCTTCAGTCTCCCTCATTTCTTCCCTGTCTCCCCGATTTTTCCTTCTATTTCCCTTGTTTTCTCTCATCCCCCTCATCTCCCTCATTTCTTCCCTCAGTCTCCCACATTTTCTCTCATCCCTCCCTCAGCCTTCCTCATTTTTTCCTTCAGTCTCTCCCATTTTTCCTTTAGTTTCCCTTATTTTTTCTCATCCTTCCCTCAGTTTCTGACATTTTCTCTCATCCTTCCCTCAGTCTCCCCCATTTTTCCTTCTATTTCCCTCATTTTTTCTCTTCCACCCTCAGTCTCCCTTGTTTTCTCTTATCCCTCCGTTTCCCACATTTTCTCTCATCCTCTGCTCAGTCTCCCACATTTTTTCCCCTCGGTCTCCCACATTTTTTCTCATCTCCCCTCAGTTTCCCTCATTTTCTTTCATACTTCCCTCAGTCTCCCCCATTTTTCCTTCTATTTCCCACATTTTCTCTCATCCCCCCTCAACCTCCCTCATTTTCTCTCATCTCCTGCTCAGCCTCCCTTTTTTTCCTTCAGTTTCCCTCATTTTCTCTCACCCTTCCCTCAGTCTCCCCCGTTTTTTTTTCTATTTCCTACATTTCCTCTCATCCTTCCCTCAGTTTCCCTCAATTTTTTTCTTCAGTTTCCCTCATTTTTTTCTCATCCCCCCCTCAGTCTCTCTCGTTTTCTCTCATCCCTCCCTCAGTCTCTCCCATTTTTCCTTCTATTTCCTGCATTTTCTCTCATCCCTCCCTCAGTTTCCCTCCTGCTCCCCTTCCCTCTCCCTCCTGCTCCCCTTCCCTCTCCCTCCTTTCTGCCCCTTCCCTCTCCCTCCTTTCTGCCCCTTCCCTCTCCCTCCTTTCTGCCCCTTCCCTCTCCCTCCTTTCTGCCCCTTCCCTCTCCCTCCTTTCTGCCCCTTCCCTCTCCCTCCTTTCTGCCCCTTCCCTCTCCCTCCTTTCTGCCCCTTCCCTCTCCCTCCTTTCTGCCCCTTCCCTCTCCCTCCTTTCTGCCCCTTCCCTCTCCCTCCTTTCTGCCCCTTCCCTCTCCCTCCTTTCTGCCCCTTCCCTCTCCCTCCTTTCTGCCCCTTCCCTCTCCCTCCTTTCTGCCCCTTCCCTCTCCCTCCTTTCTGCCCCTTCCCTCTCCCTCCTTTCTGCCCCTTCCCTCTCCCTCCTTTCTGCCCCTTCCCTCTCCCTCCTTTCTGCCCCTTCCCTCTCCCTCCTTTCTGCCCCTTCCCTCTCCCTCCTTTCTGCCCCTTCCCTCTCCCTCCTTTCTGCCCCTTCCCTCTCCCTCCTTTCTGCCCCTTCCCTCTCCCTCCTTTCTGCCCCTTCCCTCTCCCTCCTTTCTGCCCCTTCCCTCTCCCTCCTTTCTGCCCCTTCCCTCTCCCTCCTTTCTGCCCCTTCCCTCTCCCTCCTTTCTGCCCCTTCCCTCTCCCTCCTTTCTGCCCCTTCCCTCTCCCTCCTTTCTGCCCCTTCCCTCTCCCTCCTTTCTGCCCCTTCCCTCTCCCTCCTTTCTGCCCCTTCCCTCTCCCTCCTTTCTGCCCCTTCCCTCTCCCTCCTTTCTGCCCCTTCCCTCTCCCTCCTTTCTGCCCCTTCCCTCTCCCTCCTTTCTGCCCCTTCCCTCTCCCTCCTTTCTGCCCCTTCCCTCTCCCTCCTTTCTGCCCCTTCCCTCTCCCTCCTTCTCTCCCCTTCCCTCTCCCTCCCTCCCTTTTCCCGCCGGAGCCCGCGGGACAGCCGGGGATGTTTTCACCGCAGGGGAAACAACCTCTCGCTTTCTGCTCTGCAGCGGCAGGAATTTGCAATGCAGATGGAGCCAGGGATTCCTCAGCGGGCTCAGCCTCCTGACAAGCCCGGAGGTCACTGTCCCGCCTGAGAAACGCTCTGAAGCAGCTTTAGGAACCACCCGCCCTGCAAACTCCCGTTTTCTCAGCACCTCTCCTGACCGAGCGTGACATTTGCATCTGAAAAGTGGGTTTTGTTTACCTTTTCTTAGAGCACTAAATGACAAGTTACCGCTCTCAGTTTTGCCAGCCTTAAATTAGCGCCCGGCCCTTGGTTACAAGCTCGATTTGTGACTGTTTCTCAGCCAGTTTTTTTTTCCTTGAAGGTGCGAGGCAGAATATTCTTTTTGCTTCGCGCAAACTTTCTTGTTTGAAGCAAGTTTGTTGATCTCGGTGAAGGCAGCAGAAAAACGCGTGTTAGCCAATAACGCGGTGTGTGTTGCTAACTGATAGCCACAGGCAAGGATTAACCGGTTCCCAAATCACTCTAAAAAGACCCGGTTTACCTCATCAACCTGATAGAGAATATTAGGGAAGCAAAATGCTTAATCGCTTCAGTTAACAACAACAACAACAACAAAAAAAAGACCCTGATTTAGATTCTTTTAAGTGCTTTGGTTCTAATTTTCCATGTTTCTGTCTGATGCAGTCCCAAGAGACATCTCCTTGGACAGTCTCTTTTCTTCTCCATTGAGACAGGGTCTCTTTCTCTGGGAGTTCTCATTGATATCTTTAATTGTGGACATTATTCACATGCACGTGACTCTTAAATCTTTTATTTTCCAGCTCCCAATCCTGGCTAATCACTCACAACCTCATCACAGTCCTGGGTGGTTACATGTTCCCAGGCCTGAATCTTTTCTGGAAATGTTTCTATCTTTCCCAGGTTTGACTCCACTTCTGCTCTTTCCTCCTTGTTGCTCAGACACACGAGACCCTAAATGAAAAATTGTCTGTTACTTCCTCTGAAACATCATTAAAATGTGCTTTTTATTTCATTTCCCATTGAGGGCAGTTTTTCTGTGCCTTTCATTTTGCCCAGCCTGGTGTTAATGCTTGGTTTTCTGCTCTCCCAGTGCAGGACCTGGGCTGCCCTCCCACTTCAGCACACCCATATTTACTTCTGCTGGTCTGGATACAAGTTGCTCCTCCAGTTTTCAGCTGCTCTCTCAACTTGGGTACAATCTGAGCAAAGAACTTAGACGATTCCATGTCAGGGATGGGAAAATCCAAGAGAGATTCCATGGCACCCCAGGCTGGGAGTCCAACACGTGGCCACTACAGGATACTGAAGAAGTTGGGGTGCCCTGTTCAGAGTAAGAACATCATCATACTGGTGTCTGCTCCAAGCGAGCACCCCAGGGCTCTGTGCAGGGACAAGTAGTTCCAGTGGATTCATTTAAAATTTGCTGGGGTAGCTTTTTACATTTAACTGTGAAAACACTCAAGGAGAAGGACATGGAGCTCCTGGAGAGAGTCAGAGGAGGCCACAAAGAAGATCCAAGGGCTGGAGCAGCTCTGCTCTGAAAACAGGCTGGGAGAGTTGGGAGTGTTCATCCTGGAGAAGTGAAGGCTCCAGGGAGACCTTAGAGCAGCTTCCAGGGCCTGAAGGGGCTCCAGGAAAGCTGGGGAGGGACTTGGGACAAGGGCAGGGAGGGAGAGGACAAGGGGGATGGATGAAAACTGGCAGAGGGAGATTGAGGTGAGACATGAGGAGGGAATTGTGGAGTGTGAGGGTGGTGAGAGCCTGGCCCAGGTTGCCCAGGGAAGCTGTGGCTGCCCCATCCCTGGCAGTGTTGAAGGGCAGGTTGGATGGGGCTTGGAGCAACCTGGGCTGGTGGGAGGTGTCCCTGCCCATGCAGGGGGTTGGGTCTAGATGATCTTTAAGGTCCCTTCCAACCCAAACCATTTGGTGTTACTTGCTCCACTAGCAGTTTCCAGTTCCAAACAGTTTCCAACCCAAGGACAATCTATTTTACCTCCAATTTTCTCTTTAAGCTTCCCCCACCCCCCCAAAAAAAAGACAACAACTCACAGCCAAGGACTGATAATTTCCCAGGCTCCACAGGAGCGTGTTGGGAATTTCAGGTGCTGGGTAGTGTGCCAGTGGAGCCAGCAGCCATCCAAGGCTCTTCCAAACTTCTGATTGAGCAGGGAGATCTCCAGCTAACGAGCTGTCAGCTGGGTGCCTTCGCACCCGAGGCAGCCGTGGGCTGAGCTCCTGTTCCTTTCTCTCTCTTCCAGCAGCTTCTGGGCTCTGCAATAAGCGTCTGCAAATCCAATTAGCGTCTTTCTTTGTGGCCCTGGATGCTGGCAGAGAGCTGCTGTGTTGCTGCCATCTACAGTAGGGCCCGTGCCAATGGATAAGAAACAGATCTTATTTGCATATTCAAATATGCAAATGAACCATGACAGCTCTCCCTAATTTTTGTTGGGGCTTTTTAGTTTTCTTGCCAGAGTCTTGCTGCAAAGATCCTTGTCTTGGACTGAAAGGTGTGTGTTTAATCTGGCTTGGCCCAGGGCAGGAGACTGTGCCAAGGACTGGTTCTGTCCCCTGAGAACTGGGGATGGTGGTGAATAAAGTGGGAAAAATGCTTTGATGGGAATGATTTCTGGGGCATTTTTCCCAGCACAGGCTAATCTCATGAGACCCCACTGTGTCCAATTCTGGACCCCCCAACACAGAAGGACATGGAGCTCCTGGAGAGAGTCCAGAGGCAGATACAGGGATGATCCGAGGGCTGGAGCAGCTTTGGAGGCTTGGAGCAACCTGGTCTGGTGGGAGGTGTCCCTGCCCATGCAAGGGGTTGGATCTAGATGATCTTTGAGGTCCCTTCCAACTCAAATCATTCTATGACTCTATGATTTCCAGTCCTGGAAGGTACAGCACATCTTTTCTCTTCCCCTCCTGCACACATCAGGGCTGCTGGACAAGCCAAACCTGCCTGCTTTGGGGGAGCATGAGTGAAGGAGAGAACAAGTTTGGGAAGAGACAATTCCTGGTGCTTCGGTGGGAAAGACATATGAAGTGAACACACACACAGCCCCCCTGACAGTCCTAATGTCCTTTCCCTCCTGCTCAGATCAGGGCTGCTGGACAAGCCAAACCTGCCTGCTTTGGGGGAGCATGAGTGAAGGAGAGAACAAGTTTGGGAAGAGACAATTCCTGGTGCTTCGATGGGAAAGACATATGAAGTGAACACACACACAGCCCCCCTGACAGTCCTAATGTCCGTGGAACCCAAGCAGTTTCCTCACCAGCCTCCAACAACATCTGTCCCTTTGCAGCCATCACTCCTTGGGGTTGTGGCTGAACATCCACTCTAAGGCTTTTTCGCCAGTTGATACCTGTGTGTCCATATCTTTGTGGCTTGCTCTTTCCATCCAGGTTTCTTTTCTCTGTTTGTCATCATCCACTTCTATTTTCTCTTCATTATTTTACTTGTCTCTCCCCTTTTTTCCACTCTGAAGTCCTGTGGTCAGTCTGTGCTTGGACACCAGCCAGCCAGGAGGGCTGTCTCCAGCACTTCCAGAGTCAGGCAGTGTAGAAAAAGGATGATCTTTTAATAGCTTCATGGGCTTAAAGATTAAGACACAAGTCTTGCATTTAAGCAGGGTGTCTCTAAGAAAATAGACCTGTATTCGTGTCCCTAAGTTCTCCTCTGAACATGAAAGAACTTAAAGCCTCAGAGAACATCCTGAACCTGAAGCCAGGAGAGGTTTTGGTTTCTTTGGTGGCACCGAGGGGAGCTGGGGGTTGCTTTGGTTGTCTCTGTTGGCTGATGGGGAGAAAACAGAGCAGATAGTGACAGAGAGAGAAGCTGTGAGGAGGAGGAGTTTGTTAATTCTGCAGTGATGCTTCTTCTGGGGTAGCAGGGCTCCTGGTTTGCTGAGCACCAACAGGACCCCTGCAGGGAAACGTGTTGGTTCAAATCAGCTGTTCATCCCAGCAATATTTATTCTTCTAAAAATGATTCTGCTTTGCCTGTTCTCAGCCTTCCCCAGTTCACACTTCCCACTGCAGTATTCACAGCACATATTTAACACCAGGGTAGGATAGCCAAAGTCCAGATTGTTAATAGCTAAAAGCCCTGATTGCCAAAAAGATACTCCTAGCAACTACTAACTGCATCTGGGAAAAATTACAGACAGCTTGGAAATCCTTTAGTTCCATTATTAATGAAGGACTTTGTATATATATATTAAAAAAAACAACCCAAACCAAAAACACAACAGTGTAATACAGTTTAGCTCAAGTAAGTTCTTTTGTGCCTGAGGAAAATCTAAATTATAGCATACTCTAGCTACTGAAAAATGCAAAAGGCAACATACAATAACCCTCTAAACCAGAAGGAAGAGGGGAAAATTTTCTTAGGAAGCAGGAACACAATGAGAATTTATTTTATTCTTTCTGTGCATTTAGTGCTGGTGAAAGGAGCCAGATGAATAGTCACACACACGTCATGTCCCTTGCAGATGCAAGATGGGCAGCACAAGCGTCCTCAAACTGCCCTGCCAACGTGCTTCAATTCTGAATGAGAAGGACCAGCTTTCTGGGTGAGAAAGGAGTCTGTCTCTATTCAGTCCCTGACCCCTCTGCTCAAGGCTGTTAATGAAGGGGCCTCATTAACACCAAAGGTGAGGCTGGCATTGCAGTGCAGCTACTGGCTGGATCCACACCTATGGGTTCTCTTGGCCTGGTTGTTGTGCAGCCTTGGGGTGATGGTCTCTTTCTCTGTGCTCTGCAGGCAGAGAGGTCAGCTTTGGCCGAGGGGTGGAATGTTCTGTGCCAAACCCACCAGCTGGCTGGACCTGCCACCACAAGCACTTCACAGTTTGTCCCACACTGCACCCAAGCTGGTGGCAGGAGTGCAGGCTGGAGGAGACAGGCCCAGGCACTGGATCTGCCTGTTGGAGTAAATACAATCTTGGTACAATGGGAGACTCACTGCTGAAATGTGTGCCTGCTTTGCATGGGGCTTCATCTGGTTAATGCTCAGAGAGAGGCCACCTCTGACTAGATGGGTGGACAGAAACTTTGGGCCACTGAAATATATCAGATGGGGGGAAAAAATTGCTTGAAATATAGGACATGGCAGGAGGAGATCAGTAGTGGAGTCTGACCAGCACCAAAAAAACTGTGCTGAGTTGTTCTCTGGATTGAAGAGCCCAAAAAGTAAGTAGGAATTACTATCCCATACAAACACAACCTTTCCCAAGGCATTCCCAGTGTTTGGAGTTTCCTCGGGCTCTAATATAACAGTCTGGTGGCTGCACACTTGTCATGTGTCTGAGCATCCTGAGCTCTGGCTCACACTGCCTGGTGTCTTTCTGTCTTGGGACTGGTATTTCTGCAGTTTCCAACCCCAGGACATCAGCTTGGTGGCTTTCAGACCAACCAGCCATTTCCAACACCAGCAGATGCCCAGCCTGATGGTTTGAATCCTCTCTAAACTCATAGCAGAGTGTGAGACACCCCAGAGCTGGCAGAGCAGCATTTCAGAACCTCTAACATTCAATTTAATTTGAATTTCTGATTTTTGTGGATTCTGGGTCAGCTGCTCTCCTGACAGGTTCCAGCCAAACTAAGCTGTTTTGCTGGAATAATATGAAATGAGCTTTCACCTGTCTACACAACAACTGGAGGTGGGGTTGCCACATACACAAACCACCTCTAATCTAGCTAGCTCAGGTATGATAGCAGTTCTGATAATCCCCCACATTGCAATATGGGCTATGCAGACCTGCCAGTGACTCAAGGAGTTTGGCTGGCCCTGCCACACTGAAATTTGTCCCACTGAAACTTAATCATTATCACTGAAACCACTGCCTGTGAGACAACAGTGCACCTGATTGCAGCAAAGTCCTATCTCAGCAGTGTGGTGTGTCCCAAATGCCTCCAAGCTTGGTTTTATTGCATAAAGGCCCAGCCAGGGCAGTTTGAAGCAAGGCAGGTTGGAATATAAACCAATATAAACATGCAGCAAACACCATTTTAAACAACACGGGGAGGATTAAGAATTGCCTTTGTAGCTCCAATGTGGAGGCAGAGCTGTAACAAATTCTTTCCCTTTGCTACTCAGACATCAAAGTAAGTAATTTAATGATCATCATAGAATACTCTGAGTTGGAAGGACCTTAAAGATCATCCAGTCCCAACCCCCTGCATGGGCAGGGACACCTCCCACCAGCCCAGGCTGCTCCAAGCCCCATCCAACCTGCCCTTCAACACTGCCAGGGATGGGGCAGCCACAGCTTCCCTGGGCAACCTGGGCCAGGCTCTCACCACCCTCACACTCCACAATTCCCTCCTCATGTCTCACCTCGATCTCCCTCTGCCAGTTTTCATCCATCCCCCTTGTCCTCTCCCTCCCTGCCCTTGTCCCAAGTCCCTCCCCAGCTTTCCTGGAGCCCCTTCAGGCCCTGGAAGGTGCTCTAAGGTCTCCCTGGAGCCTTCTCTTCTCCAGCCTGAACCCCCCAACTCTCCCAGCCTGTCTCCAGAGCAGAGCTGCTCCAGCCTTGGATCATCTCTGTGGCCTCCTCTGGACTCTCTCCAGGACCTCCATGTCCTTCTTATGTTGGAGGCTTCAGAACTGGACACAGTGCTCCAGCTGCTATAATACACACCCACAAGTGAACCCATTACACATACATTTTTATTTGCCATCACTCTTATATAAATGAAGAATACAGTCAATTTGGAGACATTTCATGCCATTTTGAAACGCCTCCTGGAAGCACTGCAGATGCAGGCCATTTTCTCCCCTTGCCTATGCATTTTCTGATCCTATGAAATCTCTGTTAAATATATGCATGAAATGTGTCATGAAACATCTGACATCTGTGGAGAACATATTCCTGTGCCGTATGGGCAGTGTGTAAGGTCGCTGATGAACAGCTTGAAAACAGCAATCATTTGCATATGGATATATAGATGTTTATGTAATGATGCCATCCCAAGGGAATAAGGGCTTTGTCCCAGGTCCTTGTGGGCCACTGAGCAACATCAGTGCTGTTGGAGTCATGATGCATAAAGTTATGAGAATAAATACACATTTCTAGAGTGTTTAGTGCCTGGGAAATTTCATCTGTTCCTCATAAGAGGTCAATTTGTAGAGTTTTGTGGCAGGTAAAACAGGCAGGGGAACAAAATGAGACCTTTGCTCTGTAGTATTTTGATCATTTAGAGGGAATGTAGTGATAGGACAAAGGGGAATGGTTTAAAACTAGAGAGGGGAGATTGAGGTGAGAGATGAGGAGGGAATTGTGGAGTGTGAGGGTGGTGA